CTTCATAAGTAATTAATGCCACTGTTACTTAATGAAAAATGATATTCAGAAAGGTGAAAAAAAGACAATCTGCAACCACTAGGTGCATGCGTTGGATCTTCAAAACATCATTGCTTACCAAAAGGCACCTAACTCCTCTTGAATGCAACCTCCTGCATAAACAATCGTGGTATGAATGCAACTGTGTCATGCTTTCAGTCTATGCTTATAACATGTCCTTCATACGTGTCTGTGAGAATAAAAAGGACATAGAACTGACAAATTTTAATGTTATACGCATTTTACACTTCTTTATCTCGGTATAAGCTAAGCATAAAAAATTTACATAGAGCTATATATTAGGGTTTGTAAAATAACCATGATGGAGGGATAAGGTCATGAGTCATTTTTGTACAGATAGGTGTTTCCTCGGGGCTCCAGGCCCCGTCAATGCAGAAGGTGTACTTGGGTCCCTCTATCCGATGGTCGTCCTTGCGACAGCTGTACTCCACGACGGCCCCATGAGTGGGGAGGATCTGTTTGCTGTCAAAAGGCCACCTGCCCCTGGCCCCAACCAAGTATATCTCCATCCCTTCTGGAACGCGAGGTCGGCTGCAATGCACTGAAAGAATAAAAGCTCGTAACACCATTAAGACGCTTGAATACAGAATCTCAGTTTGATAATGCTGCTTTCGACTGAATCTTCCTCTAAATCCATTTCGTATGCATTCGACAACCGTAGCAATACATTGTCCTCGTTAGCCTTCTTTGTGCAGCAAAAATAATGTGAGATTTATAGATTTCTATCGAGACTAAAAATGCCATGCTTTTACAATTACTTCTTGCGAGGCGTTGGAGAGTCAAAGTTGTACATTAATTCATTTGTCCATTTCAATTCGGAGGCATCAGCTGTTAAGGTGTAAAAGTCATTACTGAGTTCCTATTTGCATACGATAAGCCACTTATCAAGTTGTTTAGAAAAATGAAGAGGGCACACCTCCCTCGCTCAGTAAAAATAATATAGTTTCAGTACCATAGGACATCAAGATTAATTGGCACTCCATACATTGTTTAAACATGGGAGTCAAAATCAGAAAAATTAAAAGTCCAAAGTCACTAGGATTGTTTGTAGCTTAAGACTTGAAAAATAAAAAAAATTATTCTATATTTTCCGAGTAGAATGCATCAGATCACCCTTACTTTTTACCACTTGGCCAATTCACTTCAAATCAGCTTTGAATGCCACGAGGAG